TCCGCTGCAGCGCCGAGGAGCTGGACTATTACCTGTACGGCCAGCAGCGCATGGAAATCATCCCGCTCAACCAGCACACCAGCGACCCCAACAACCGTACGTAGCCGCAGCCCTAGCTCGCCCGCTCTGCCCCGGCGAGGGCGACAGCCGGCAATGGTGGAGGAGGCGGGTAGGGTCCCAGGAGAATGACACGGGTGAAGGGTGGGGAATCTTGAGTCCAGGGCGCTGACCTGCGTTACCCACATCACTGTGGCAAAACTTTTCTGGCGTCTGAGAAGAGACGGGTGCCCGGAGTCACCTTGGGCTTCTGCCCCTCCGCTCTCTTCGGACCCCAGCTTCAGAGAGTCTCAAGGCTTTGCCACCCCAGTGGCCCTCCGCCCTCTCGACGCCCAGTGTTCAGGGCCAGGCGGGTACTGGCAGCTGGCGGTCCAGCCTACCCTGATCGGGGCGAGGGAGGGACTCTCGAAGTTTCCAAGGAAGCATGGACACCGGGGTTTGCTTCTCGGTCTTTATTTCACTTTTGGAGTTAACAGTGGCAGCTCATTTTCGGGGCCAGTGATTATCGAGGTCTTGTTTTTCTTTCTTTTTCTTCTTTCTTTCTTTCTTTCTTTCTTTCTTTCTTTCTTTTTTGTAACAATAGATCAGTTTCTTCCTACAGGTAGGTATTAAAAGTAGGGTTACTATTTATTTAGGCGCTAAAGATAAAAGGGGCAGCCCACAAAATGAGAAGAAAATTTCCAATGTCAGGACAGTGTCGTTCGTTGCGGATCCCCGCATTTCCCAGCAATCCTTGATCCTGCAGATGTTTGCAACCAATGTTGCTTTATTCGTTTTAACAAAACAGTTTTTTTAAAAGTTAACAACGATGGCAATTTCATAAAAGGAACATACCTCTTCCTTAAGTTAGCGGTGAAATGACTAACTGCATATCTGAACTCCCCAAAACTTTCTGTATTCACAATTCCAAATGCTTCCTAAGCACAGTTATAGTCTGACATTTTGAAACAAAATCCTCAGTGAAGGATCAAGAATGTGTTTTGATGCACATCTCTACTCGGTAATTTCAAAAATTACCATATGTTAACACCTAAGGTTTTTGACATATGCGTTAATTACACTTTCTAAAAACTTCGGACCGAACCTTATCGCAACTGGGCAGGAGTTACATTGAGAATAGCATTCATCCATCAGTTTTCTTCAATCCATTCTTCATTTGGTTTCTGTATAAAAAAAAGTAGATACCAAATATTTACTTCTATTTTAATAAGTTGCTCCCTGCAGAATGCCTGTCACACCATAAAGTTCTTGGTTTCTCACCAAAACGAAACGATATAATTAGAATAGTAATTTAAAGTTTTCTAAGCTGTTGCTTTGATAAACAACAACAAGAACAAAGAAAGAAAACTATGACCATTAGCCTCATAATCGAAGCTTATCACACTTCTTGAAATACTTATTGTGATGGATCTTATTCCTATCTCCAAAAAAGCAGTTCTGTTTACTATTTCCTTTCTAATGTCTAAAGGTAAATACCGCTTTAAGAAAAGAGCTGAAATTCCAATTTTGGGGTGCATTTAAAAAGACTAGTGTATTTCGGGATTTCAGACCATTTTATAAAATTGCATTGTCTTAATCAAAGATGTGTGTTTCCTCGTGAATTCCTTCCAGATGTTGTCTTACAATCAGTTCTTTTTAAAGTGTGAAATAGAAAACTTGGCAGTAGTTCTTACTGCTAAGCGAAATATAATCATTGCAGATTGGGGACACCTTATCAAACTTCCAGTTACTTCTCTGTATGAAATCTGGGCTGGAAAGGATACTAACTCTGGCTTTGTGTCGTGTTGTGCAAATTTTTACAATGTAGCAGTGAGATGTAAGGTATTTTCATTAGAGACAACATCCACCAATCAGAGAAAGAATTAGGACAGATTACTAATTGACATCTGAGTATGAACCAGTTTGTGATCTAGATAGCTTTCCCCACCCCCTGTTAGAGAGAATGATCTGTGGTTTTATTTATTGCTATTTTGTTAATCGTCTGGTATACTCTTTTGAGTCGAATGGATTGATTCAATGTTCAAAGTGAGGAGAGAAGACAGAGGAAGTTAGATTGTTACACTTCACTCCGCTTGCTAATTAAAGGGACAGTTGGGAGGAAAGTAGAAAGGGTAGCTCTGGGTAATGGGAAATGGCCTCTGGTCCTGGGCAAGTAAACTTAGGACTCTTAAAGTCATGCATTGTGTGGTGTGTTTTAAAGACAGCAGTGACTGGGTTTAATCTAACTAGTCATTTCAAACAAACCCCAAATGCAAAGACTTAAAACTTTCCCAGGTGCTTGTAGAGTTGGTGTTTTGGTCCCTTGAAAGACAGAAAACAAAAGCTTCCCCTCATTTCTGTTCTGCATGGGGAGGGGTGAGGAGAGGAGGCGTGCGGGGAGGGTGGGGGAGGGAGGGGACAGAAGGAAGTAGTTTTAATTTCTCACGTGTATTTCTCTCTAAAATTTTTCGTGAAGTGATCACTCAGCAAAGCATCACTTTGTGACTTTGCATTAAAAGCGTATCAAGTGAGCTCTCTTATTTCTTACTAGGCGAAAAAGCTCCTCCTCCGTTTCTCCCCTTCCTTCGGTAGTGATTAGTAAGGCAGGCCACCACGGCTCAGCCACACCTCGAGACTCGGTTGGCGAGGATTGCAGAGGCCACAGCGAATACGCTTGTAGCTCTTTCCTAGCAAATTTTCAAACATGCTGAAGGCAAATTAGCCTAAGCGAGGTCCTTCAGTAGGTTCCTATTATTGAACTGCCTGCAAGTGGTTGAGATCCGCGTGGTCCACCCAAGCTGTCTGGGCTCTGCTGCTGCTCTCTCTCCCTTAGAAGTCGAGGCTGTGTCAGGCAGCACACAGAGCCCTTCTTTGCTGCTGGGTTGCCCGATCCCTGGGGCTCCTTTCCAGTGGCCTCTTCTCAAGTTCTGGGTAGCTGATATGTTTTCTTCCTGAGACCTTGTCAGTCCTCCTGGAGGATGGTGGGATGGACTTGCTGGGCATGCACCGAGGATGTGAAGTTAGCGTTCCTTAATCTTGTGAAGACAGCTGGTTTCATAGCGAGAAGGCGGCTGGAAATGAACCTGTTCTGATGTCTAGGCATAGAGATGGGTCACCTTACACCTTAGCAGTATAGGGGTGCTCTCTGACTCTTCTGAGGTAGAAAAGCATTGCCAGGCAGGGAACCGTTTGCGAAACCGGGGGTGTGGAAGCAGGGTTGCAGACTTCCCTGAAGGCAGCGACACTCTCAAAGGTGTGAGGGAAGGAACTGGGAATAGCGAGGGATTGGCGTTGATGGGGTTGCAGGGAGCTAGTGCTGGGGGCTGTGGGAAACTGGGGAGTGCCCTGGGCTCCGACTTTATCTGAATCTCCCCTCACTTTTTTGTTGGGGGTGCTTCTTGAGAACCTGCTAGCAGGATTGTAGGGCCAAGGAGACACACACTCTGCTCCACTCCCATCCAGCGAATCTGGCTGTTAATGACCAGCAAGCGATTTATTATAGATTTCAGACCTGGTCCCCTGGGGGGAGGGACTTCAGCGTTGGTGTGAGGCCTTTTTTATATTGTTCTATTTTTCTTTTTCTCACGTGTTGTGTGCATTCCCAGCCCCACCTCATAACACACATGATTTAGCTATTTTACATCATTCTTTATCCAGAGCCCTGAAACTGAACATAGAACCATATATTAGATTGAGGTTAGACGAGGTGGCGACTGTTTATTTAAGGTGATAAAATGGTCCATCAGCAGTAATCTCCATCGATATGTGCCACCAGGAGATGAAGGATGAGGGGACAAGCCACAATTAATTGCCCTATAGTTTTGTAGGAGAGAGTGGAGCCAGCCCAGACCTGCTTCGATCTCTTCTCTCTGCCCCTATTCATCATCTTTGCCTTGTATATGGTGGCCTCGTAGGGGCAGAGGGCGGCCAGGTTTATCTCTGTGCAATATTCTCTCGTCCTCACACCCTGGTGTTCTCATTTAATTTATTAATACAGTCACCAGGAGACAAATAAAATCCACGTTTTCTCCCTCCCTCTCCCTCTTTTCCTCCCTCTTTGTCTCTTTCATTGGTCCCTGGGCCAAGTCAGCAGGCTAGGCTGAGAAAGCCCTGGAATTCTGTGTGTTGTTGCCGGGGATTCTCAGTGCATCCCTGTGAGCTGGGTCACCACAATAGGTCCTTCTTTGTGGTGGCTGCCAGGTTTCTGGTCCGCCTAGACTTGCTTTGGAGTTGGTGAGGATGGTTGAGGCTAGGCGATTCCCTGTTCTGGGGAGACGGGCCTGGTGGGTGTCCATTGCGACTGGGTCCTCAGAATACATAGGCAGTCGCCACCCCTGAGAGTCCTTCGTGGCTAAAAGCTGAGTGAGATCTTTAAACCGAATCCTTCGGAGGCAAAGGCATCCAGTCTGCAGAGCATCACTCTTTGTCCACACAGGTCCTGCACAAGGAAAGGCAGGACGTGATGGAGCCCTGGAGAGTAACTCAGAGTGAGGCTCCTGCCCGGCTGGCCGGGCTGCCTAGGACCCTCAACCCACTTTGTCTTCCCCTGGGGGCTTTGAACTCTGGTTGCCAGAAGGTGGCACTCCCGGGACCGATCAATGCGTCCCGGCCCCTCAGGGCTTGGCCTACAGGACCGAGGTCTGCGACCCCGACTGCCACTGCCTAGAAGTATTTACAACCAAAGCGATACCGGCTCAGCAGGCTCCCAAGTTACTCTGCGGTTTCCTTAAAAGAAGGTTGTGAGAGTAGGAGGGACTTTGCACAGCGAAAGAGTAGGCGATCTTAGGCAAAGCTTTGTGGACAGAGTCCTACGGACGGCCACACTTGCTTCTCAGTTCTTCAGCAGACAGCAAAAACCCTGAAGGGCTTTATGTTTCACCTTCCCTGGAATGAGAAGAGAAATGTTAAAATATCGACTGGTGGCCTGTTTTGCTCCTTTGCTCCGAGGATAGGGTTCATTTAAATAGGGTAAAAACAGTGCATGCGCTTGAAAACATTCCTCCAGTAGGAAGGAGGTGAAATGGGAGTGAAGGATCTCTCTCCACCCAGAAGGCCTGCTTTGGCAAGCTGGTAGCCCACAACCTTCCTCATGGACCCTGGGCAGATGTGCTCAAGAGAGACCTAGATTGCCATAATTCTGTACCCTAAAGTGACATTCACATCATCCTGTGAATAATAACTGTAAACTTGTACCAAAACCCCTGGTTTTAAAGGCTGGAATGCGGTGTGAGGAGCAGTCGAGGATCTAGCTGGCTTCTCCTTCAAACCTTTTTATGTGGGTGTTTGTGGCTCACTGGCTAGAAAGCACTGTTTGCCAACTTGTGACTATTTGTCAATCCTGAGAAAAAAGTTTCTTGTTCAAAACTTCCCCAGGCTCCCCTAGGACTCTGAGACAGGTTAGAAACAAATATCTTCAGTCCGGAGGGATTTTGTGCAGTAGAAATGCTGGAGACTATACATAACTTTATTTTGATGGTGATTGGTCAACTCTTCAGGAAGGAATATTTTTACATTTTTATTAAAACTCATGTTAAGTGAACTAATTAGCATGGACTGGGCTTGGCTACTTTTCCATGAATTTAGGATCTAGTCTTCTAGATTTGGGGAAACCTCAGTTCTTCAGAACTTTACCAAATGCTACTTTGGAAGTATGCTGTAGAGAAAAACAAGACCCAACCACGGAAGCGGGAGTTAGACAAGAGTCAGCTGTCATTCACTCCAAATATTATTGACGTGTGCTTCTTTTCTGCGGGGCAGTGGCTGCAGTTAATTGCTTCTAATCTGTTTTATCCACATGGACAATGTGACGCTCCACAGAGAGAACTGGGAAGCTGATAGGATTTTTGGCATGGGCTCTTAGGTTGTGCATAGTGTGTGGGGTTTTTTTTGTTTTTTTTTTGTTTTTTTTGTTTTTTGTTTTTTTTTTTGCTTCTCAGTCTTTACTTACTTGAATGAACCAGAAAGGAATAATCAGCTAAGCATTCCCTGAGGTGATTTATATTTATTTTCATGGGCACACTGCCTTTGCCTTTTTATTGTCATTTTAAAAAACTATTTTTTTGTTCAGGTGGTGAAAAGTCATTCTAATGCGTCTGCATTGTTAGACACATTAAAAATTATGGCTAGTGGCTATTTATTTCCCTATTGTTATACTTAGCTTTCTCAAGTGCAAGAGAGAACCTTCCCTATAACTCTGTTACTCTGTCATGCTGGAGTTCTTCTCGTGGCCCCCAAATGGTTACATCAGTAAACTCTTTCCGTCCTATTGATTGAGTGGTGAGTTGGTGTATAAAATTCTCCTGGTTTTCATTAGTCTTTCTGAATCTCTACATTTGAAGCCTTCTGGACTCAGGCAGACTGAGATGTGGATCTTTGCACTTTCTCTTTTCAGTTTCTTGACTCTTGATCCTGTTCCAATGCTCCCTGAAATGTCTTTTGCTCTCTCTGCAAAAATGGGAATTGTGGTACATAGAGTTGCAATTTGCTGCAAAGGCAAATGTAAGACACACAGAAGGCGATAATGTTACTGTCGTTTTTGTTTCTACAATATCTTGATTTTGTTTGCTGTTATTCACAAGTAACAGTATGAGAGGCTGAATGAAATATTTGTTCCTGAATTGTTGACGTGTGAATGAGTGTCAATATCCCCTCATCTAGGCCTTAGGGTGAAAGTCTTGAAGAGTTCTCACATTAGCCTGCGTTGTTGGCAGAGGGTGGGTACCTTTGTGTTAAGGAAGGCATACCTGCAGAAACAGGATGCTTCTTGGGGATAGCTGCTAGGAAGTCGCAACCAGCAGGTCTCCTCACTCCTACAGCGGCAGGACACAGTTGACTGGAACCACCTCTAGTGAGAAATGGGATGTTCATGTAGTCAACCATTCTTATCAATCAATCGGCATGTCAAGGGTTCTCGCTCCATTCTGGGTTGTGAAGGAAAATTCTTTACTGATTTGCGTTGTCACGAATATCTGGGATGGTTCTGCAGTTTCAGCGCAGACATGGCACATTCGGAGTGATCTGTGAGGGCTAGCTGCCATGGAGGCAGGGGGCAGGTGCTCAGAAGCCCCAAAGGCAACTCAGGTACCCTGCTGGTGGTCCTGACCATCTCCACCACTGCAGCAGCACCAAGCTCCAGGGGCAGTGCCACAGGGCTCAGCTGCGGGAGGACCCTCAGGGTCCCCAGGGAGGCAGAACTCAGGAGGCAGAGTTGCAGGCGGGAGTCCTCTGAGCAGGCTAGCTGCACCAGGGAGTAGACACAGCGGCTCCGCCAGGCCCATTAATAACCCTTAGGCTCTGCGATTCGACAGCATGGTCGCTGAAAGCCTAGCTTCTCCTGTCTGCCGGGCCCTTTCCGCCCAGTTCGAATCAAACAACACTGGGTGTTCTGGAGAGGCGCGCGTGGAGGGTAGGAATCCCCGTGCGTGCGAGCCATCTTCCCTGGAGTGAGTTAGCAACAGCTTCAGCAACAGCGTCACTAAATGAGACAATCCCATTTAACCTGGGCTCGGCCATCTAGGCTGCTCGTCGAATCATTACCCCGATCATTAGAGACCCTTTACCTTGATCCTTAAATTTCTTATCTGGTTTGGCCTCTGGGAAGAACTTGCATGTACAATCACTACCGACACCCCCACTGTCTCCTAGTTCCCACTTATCCTAGATGACTGGAGTCCCTGGGGTGGGCGCTGGACAGAGACTAGGGACGCAGCTCCTAGAGGGCGGGGACTGGGGCTTGCGCTCTGGCGACAGAGTTGGAAGCTGCGGAGTCCAGCGTTTGTACCTGTCACTCCCGCTTTGATAGCCCAAGAGCAGAACCAAATACTCAGGCGACTATCTGAGATAACCGGTTGGACAAGAAGCAGACTTCTGGAGGATGCAAGGATAAGCAAACCCTGAAACGCTGGGGGAGGGCGAAGGCGTAGGAACCGGTGAGGGTTAGAGAAGAGACGCTTAAACGCAGGCAACTTGGACCGGAAGCAAAAGGTGCAAGCGTTAGGAGCCTGGAAAGCACACCTAACTACGCAAACTCAACACTGAAGCCTTGAGTTGATCCCAGCAGGCGTGTTTGAGTGTTGCAAGTTCCCAGGGTGTGTGGTGCGAGTTCCTTTCCGACAACCTATGGTCTTGGCGCCCTTCTGGTGTCTCCTCAACAGGTGGTTTACCTGCTGCAGTTAGGAAGTTTACCCGAGGATCGTCGGCGGCGCCCCCCCCCCCACCCACCCACCCACCCTCACCCCCCCGCGGGGGAAAAAAAAAGACCGGGTTAACACGCTCCTTTCCCTCCTTCCCTGGTGTCTCCCACAGGTTGCGACATGTGTGCGGACAACCGCAACGGGGAATGCCCCATGCACGGGCCCTTGCACTCGCTGCGCCGGCTTGTGGGCACCAGCAGCGCAGCGGCCGCTGCACCCCCGCCGGAGCTGCCTGAGTGGTTGCGGGACCTGCCCCGGGAGGTGTGCCTGTGCACCAGCACTGTGCCCGGCCTGGCGTATGGTATCTGTGCTGCGCAGAGGATCCAGCAGGGCACCTGGATTGGACCCTTCCAGGGCGTGCTCCTGCCCCCGGAGAAAGTGCAGACCGGCGCCGTGAGGAACACGCAGCACCTCTGGGAGGTAAGCTGCCCTAGCTGAACACCTTGCCCTGCAGACAGGGTCCTGGGCAGAAGCCCAACCCCCACCCTCTGCCCCACTGACGTTTAGGGGACTGAGTTCCCCTCTCCTGTGGAGGGCTGGCTTCTGAAGTTCCGGCAGTGAGGAGCCTGTGGGTTGCAGAAATCGGAGCCACCCTAACCTGCTTGTGTTCAAACTGGGAAAGATTAGCTCCTTGGTCTGCCAATCTTTAAGAAAAGGGAAAACAGCCAAGGAGGAGGTAGAGTTACTATTAGAGCTAGGTGACCTTAATGCCAGGTTCCCAGCTCTTTTCTGTGTCTGGAGCCACAGAAGCCGACAGGGGACAGTCAGGGTAATTTTTCAGATGACAACAAGCCTGCCATGATAAGGGAAAGTGCTTGCTTGCTTAATAAGAAGGAACTCCTGGTCCTCAGTGCTACTTAACTGGAATGATGGTGAACACCTATAATCCTAGCACAGGGGGAGGTGGGAGTAAGAAAGTCAGAAGTTCAAGGTCACCCTAACTTATATAGCAAATTTGGGGCCAGTTCTAGGTCATCCAAAACATTTTTTTCTCTTTTTTTTGGGGGGGGGGGGTAAATGCTGACTGTGAGAGACCAAAATATGTTCTAGAACTTTGAAAGTCCCCAAATCCCTTCATGAGTTATATTGTAAATCAAAACTTAAAAACTTGGTTTCCCTTCTGTCAAAGTGAAATTATACAACTTGCAACGAGGTAGATAGTCGAAACACAAGAAAACAGCATTTTGTTTTAAGATAATCCAGACTATTATTTAAAAACACCATATCTGAAAAATTCTGACCAGAGCTTCTTGCTTGATCACTGAGGTCCACTCCTGAAAGATAGAGGATTATAAACAGATAATCCTTTGGCTGATTTTAGCTACTCCACTCATGGGAAACTAGTTTTGAAAGACTAGATACTAGAGGCTATAAGCATAGATGCTGCAAATCTGCAGCCCGGTCAACTAATGAAGGAAGAGTCATCAGAAAGAGTTAGCTGGGCAGTGGTGGCGCACACCTTTAAACCCAGCCCTCGGGAGGCAGAGGCAGGCAGATCTCCGTGAGTTCGAGGCCAGCCTGGTCTACAACAGCAAGTGCCAGGACAGCTGAGGTTGTTATAGAGAGAAACCCTGTCTCAAAACAAGCAAACAAAATAAATAAATAAATAAAAATAAAGAAGGAAAGCAAAAGTAAAGAAGTCAGAGTCTTAATTGTCAGGGCCTTATTGTTCAAGAGGATCCTAGGGCTTCAGCATAGGGCTGTTTCAGCGACAGCATGCTTTCTGGTTACACCTGGCTCGATGGCTTGTCAATGTGATCGTTTGTATGGTGAACTGTCCCAACTCACTACATAAAACGTAATAATCCACTTACATGTCTACTGAAATCCCTTTGACCAGCTTTGTGTTAGGGACTGGAGAGAGTGTTGTAACAGTTACTGTCCAGAAGCCTCATGTGACTACTGGGGTCAGAGGGCTGAGGCCTGTGTTTGCAAAGTCTCCCTTGATGAAGGAAGAATGTCCCTCAGAGGTGAGGACAGGGCAGTCTCCAAGAGTTGCCCACTCTGTTCTTATCCACAGAGTCCTGGATCCAGGCTTCCAGGGTCCTGATCACTACTAAACAGTCGTTGGAAAGCAGTTGAACATTTTTGTCTTTCTGGATAGAGTTCCTGAGTGAGGGGGTCAGGGGTGGGCATATTTATGTCACCAAATGAGGCTTTCCTTAAAAAAACAAAACCAACAGTAAACATTCAGAAATTTAATGTTCAGAACAGGCAAGAGGAAGTAAGTGGCCTGGCATGAAACAACATGGAAGCAAAAGTCTGAGCCATTGCCTAGCAGAATGGACAAGTAGGACATAATGAGAGCGCCTGGTTTTGACGCCCTTCCTCGTTGCTTTCTTTCTTCTTCTTCTTTTTTTTTTTCTCAATAATTCAGTTGTAACCTCCGGTGTTTCACGTTTAGAAAGTCTGTCCATGCACCCTTCATGCTCCAGCAGTGTTATTAAAGACTCTAATATCACATTGTTAAATGTCTGCCGATGCTTCCCAGGGAAACTCGCAAAGCGGTGGTTGGTTTGTGGTACAGTACAGATTTATTCTATCTGAAAATGTGAAACCGAACGGATCCCGCCCTCTGAGGCTTGTCTATTTTTAGACTTTGGAGAACAAAGCCATAAATGTGAAAAAAAATTCCCATAGTTCATTTTTTTTTTTCCTAGAAGGCTTTGAGTGATTGGGCTGTCGGCCTGAAGCCACTACACAGACAGACTTCAGCAATACATGTTAACGTGGAAAGCCATGAAACTTCTCGTTACACTTTTGATTGAGGAAATAATTCTGTCATAATAATAAGACTGTTTTCTTTTCTTGATACTTCCATGGATTTAAAGTGAGTTTCACCTCTTGTTTGGGGTACGTGAGTTGCGTGTATTAGGAAGATGTATAAAGTTAAGTTCTTGATGTTAATTGACCTACTAGGTTTGTGCTTGAATGATCTCTAGGCTCCTACTCCTAGTTCAGAACATAATTAATCTATTTTATCATCCCTCTTTAATAATAATTAGAATGATGCTCATTTGGGGGACTGAAGGGATATTGAAATTTCAACCATGTAAAATGTCTCCTTGAGAGGTGGTAAAAAATTGTTCCTGACTGGGGTGGTTTAGTGGCAGTGACTATTTGTAGTGACAGCACCCTTTTTAAAATGGGGCCTAGACTTTCATTGGTATAATTACTTTTAAAATATGAAGTATGAGTGGTTGGGAATGTAGCTGAGTTGTCAGAGTGCTTGCCTCGTGTGTGTGTGTGTGTGTGTGTGTGTGTGTGTGTGTGTGTGAGATTTCCTGAGTTTGATTCCCAGCGCTGCATAAAATTCGGCCATTTTGTGGGAGGTGGAGAGGGATCAGGCATTCAAAGTCAGCCTCAGCTACATAGGAAGTTCGAGGTCAGACGAGGCTGTTTGAGACCCTGTCTCAACAAAACAAAATATTAAAAAATGAATAAATTATGATTTAAAATGTAAGCGTCATGATTTATGAGACATTTGAAACAAGTCATTTTTAATAATAGGCAAGTATAAATATTGAATTGCCCTTCAAATTTTAAACTTTAAGCTTGCCTTCTATCCTTGAAAAAGTCGAATCATTGTTTATTTCCGGTAGCGTCCATAACTGGACCACACCACAGATCTTCATAGCAAAGGCTTCACAGCAGTTTTTAATGACTCACAAAATAATCATTCACGTAAATATTATCTTAGACATTTTCTAAGATACAAATTCTACAGCAGAATTTCAGGAAAGTGAATCATGACTCTTTTCATTTTAAAAATCAACCATAAAACCTTCTTCTTCTTAGTCTTTTTTCTTAGTGTTTTTTGAAAAAATGTCTTCATATCTAGAGTCCAATTCTCAGTTCCTGATAGATCTCACCAGGGTAGCTTATCTTTATTTCAGTACAGTAAATGGATTGCTAATTTCCCCCACTCCTGTTTCTGAGTGGATAGTGGATTTTTGTTTCAGTTTACAGTTCACTGTGTGGCTGGCTCTGTTTCAGCGGTTGTGCACAGGGAGGGTTAGGAGAGAAACAAACAGATTCACACTCCTTCAGATTACTCATTAAAAGCTTCATTTTATTCGTAGAAGAACTTTTAAATGTTTGCTGCACATTGCCATGGAGAATTTGTAAGCATGCCGTCACATTGTAGGTTAGTGTCTTCACTGTGTATAATCCCAACGATGCAGAATACAGCAATTTAAAGGAGTAAGACACCATCTTATGCTACTGTTCTGCGTGATTTGAATCTTCAGGTATTTATGAGGAGAGCTTGTCTTTTCTTCAATTCTCCCCACATCCAATGATCTAAGGTTATTATTTTTTCCCAGTTGAAAGAGATTAGTAAGTTAAAGCCAAATTTAAAAGACAAAATCCAAATTACTTTTTTTTCTATTTGGCCAGTTACTTTTGGGATTAGAATGTTAATGTGTTTTGAAAAGTGACAAGTTTAGGTTCTTGAAAACAAAACCATTACAGAAAACATTAAGTGGCTCTTTAGCTACATACATTTATTCTAACGAGACGTGGACACAGGCTTTAGTTCTATTTAGATGTATTGGGCAGAAATCGTTCAGAGAGAGCAGACTCTCCACAGTTATGTCTCAGAGATGGGAGTGAGATAACTTTATCCTAATGTGTTCTCTAATGAAGAAGTGAAAAGGCACATCTGATTCCAACATTTATGAAAACATCATCTTGGTTATTAATGTGCTCTTTTTTCCCCTTGAGAGAAATTAGTCTAGTTGTATATGGTTTCCTCTTTCTGCTTAACATCAGAATTTAATATGACTAGACCTGAGGAATGCACACAGTGTATACTTAGTATTCTGCTGGAATAAAATACCAAAGTTTGAAGTAACGTTACAATCTAAGATAAGCTAGAATTATACCTTTCAACTCAAGGTCTGACTTGACAAGAAATTTTAACAACAATGACAAAATAAGTTGTACCCATTTTCACCGTAATTTTTCCCCTGCTAATTGAGATAACGTAGTGGCTTGTTAGGATTACAGTCAAGGTTCTAGAGTGGAGTTTAATTTTATACAATCTGTCTTCCCCTTTGCTTGAGTAAGCCTGAGTGTGTCATTTGCATTCACACTCCGTTTAAAGATTAGCTGTTTTTCTTCAGAAAATAAAGGAGGGTAGCATATTACGGGCTTTTTTGTGGTTTGACTTTGTGCCATAATATTTTAGACATAATAAGGGTTCTGCTTAAAGTAAAGGATCTAATTTTTAGTATTACTATTTAGCTTGCATCAAAAACTATTAATGAAAACCAGTGTTAAATCTATATTTCATGCTGCTAAATGTTTATATGTCGAAACCATCATAGGCAATTGGTACCAGAAGGAAATGGATTGATTTTATTTTTTGACTGTGCTGTGTAATTTTTTTATTAATGACTCTATTATATATATACATA